CCATCCCCACCCTAAGAAGACGCAGATACTCTTCCCACTAGTGGCCCATTCGCCCTCCACTGCCCAATTCTGCACAGGCTGACCCTCAGGTCCCGCCGTCCCCGCCCCTCCCAGCCAGTACTCACGGCCTGCTCACACTCCACGTCCAAGGCACTGGTGGCTTCATCCAGGATAAGGACCTGTGGGTCCCGCACGAGGGCCCGGGCAATGGCCAGACGTTGCTTCTGTCCCACAGCCAACTGGCTCCCTTTCTCCCCAACGTCTGAAGAAAACGAGAAATGCCTTTCCTCAGACACTGGTGACCACGACAACGTCCTCCCCACAGGCAGGGACCAGGGCACAACTGATGTTTCCACAGAAACCAGTTAGGAGGATGAGGGCCTGGTGGAGGGAGGGAGGTGGCCAGCGGGGAGACCTCTGGGGCTGGCCATGTCCAGGGAGCATCACTTCTGCCCTGCTCTCCGGGAACAAAGACTCTGGACCAGGACAGATGGCTAAAGCACTCAGGAAGTTGGGGAAGGAGGGGAGATGGGAGGCGAGAAGAGGCAACAGCAAACACTGAGTTACAGTGACACGGCCCCGGCCCCAAGAATAAGCTCGCTTGTCCTTTGCCTGAGGTACCTGTAGAGAGTCCATGCTCCATTTCTTTTATGAACTCATCTGCCCTGGCAGCCTGGGCAGCGGCCATCACCTTATCATCACTGCAGCTCTTCAGCCCGTAAGCAATGTTGTCCCTCACGGAACCCGAGAACAGCACAGGCTCCTGCCCAACCAAAACCACCTGTGCCGAGGGGATGGGAGCAGAGGACTGTGTGGAAACCCCCACGGCAGGGACCCTCCTTTCCTCCCCGCCTACCTCCCCCAGAACCGAGTCCTTGTGTGTCTCCGCCTGACCCCTCTCCCGTGCCCTCTCTGCACATCCTTCCTCTCCAATCTCCTATCCTTCGTCTTCCTCCCCACCCACCTGTTGGTGCAGGTAGTGGTGTTCATACTGGGAGATGGGCACCCCGTCCAGCAGCACCTGCCCCCCAGTGGGCTGGTACAGGTTCTGCAGCAGGGCAGCCACCGTGCTCTTCCCAGACCCATTGGGCCCCACCAGTGCGGTCATCTCACCAGGACGTAGGGTGAACGTCAGACCCTAGAAAAGCCAGGAAAGAGTTAGGAGCCTGCCTCTTCTCCCTCCCCCCACCCCATTCTTTCTATCAGAGGCAAATCATCTACAAGCCATGATGCCTGGTCACACAGGAGCCAGGGGCCCAGGTTCCCTCCCTGTGGCCTGTCAGGCACCTTGAGCACTGGCTGGCTGGGGTGACTGGGATATGCAAAGGAGACGTCTTGGAATTCCACCAGCCCCCGCAGAGTGGGCGGGGCCAGTGTCCCAGGGGGAGGCAGGTTTGGCTTTCTGTCCAGGTAGCAGAAAACCTTCTCCGCAGCCCCCACGTTGCTCAGCATATCCCCAAACATGTATACCACGGTCTGCAAAACAAGAGGGCAGGGGTCACCTAATCATACATAGCTCCACCAGAAAGCAGTTTCTCAACTCCTCATGCGCCCTCTGCCACTGTGCACTCCAGCCATGCCTCTCCCCTTACCCAAAAAAAGATTCTCTCCCTTTAAATGTGTGATCTGATGGAATTTAAAAGCAGCACCAATATCCTATTATTCCAACTTGTAACACAAAGGATATAAAGGACCGAGACGTCCATACTCCCCTCAACACCGTGACTTGCACCCCAGATCTTTCCAGTTACTGCTCTGTGTTACGCACACAGCTGGTCTGGCCTGATTAGACAGGGAACCCCTTAAAGTCAGTGCTGTGTCCACCTCATCTCTGTGGCCCCCAGAGTGCCTCACACACTCTCCCCACAAAAGACACTTAACAAATCTCTACGAAAATTCTAAAATAAAGCCCAAGATGCAGGAACTATTTTTGAAAACTGGTCAATACAGGGAAAGAACTAAATGCTCATCCTGCCTTTCCTAATCAAACTGTCCCACTGAGTAACCACACAGCAGAGGAGGAGGCACCTCCCTTGAGAGAAGTCTCCCAGCTAATAAATGAAGGAATGACGGGTGTCACCGTTTGCCTTCCCCAGTCACTGAATGGATCTTGGCTCTGAGCATTATTGGACGAAGCCACCACAGATGTAGATGAGAGAGAGGAAGAGACAGATGTAATATATGCACTCTTATTACCTATATGAGACGTGAAAACTCGACTGCTGACTGCATTTGATGAACTTTAGAAATTATTGTTAATTTTTCAGGTGTGATAATGGCTTTGCAGTTACATATTTTTTAATGTTTATATTTAGAGAGATACATTTACAGATGAAGCCATATCTGGATTTGCTTTAAAATAATATGGGTTGGGGGTTAAGTGGGTGAGGATACAGATGAAACAAGGCTGGCCAGCAGTTATAATTGTTAAGACAGATGCTGGGTATATGGGGGTTCATTATAGCATATATATATGTGTGTATACATATATATATATACGTGCCTACATTTCAGATTCTCCATAACAAATGAATTGGGGTTATTTTGGATTGTTTTTTTTAAGGGGAATGAACAGAAGCCAAAGGGGAAATGAGAGCATGCACAGGTCCTGACTCACATGCACATAGGTGCCCACGTTCTCCTGGTAGAGCAGAAAAGAGAGCAGCCCACCCCGGGTGAGGTCCCCAGCCAGGATCTGCTGCAGTCCACAGTTCAACAAGAGCACCTGCATTGCCAAGCGCAGCGTCTGGAAGGGAGAAGAAAGGGGAACCTGAGAACATCTGTTCTTTATCCTCCCTGTCCCTACGACACGGAGCAGCAAGGACCCCAGGACAAGCTGTAGGATCAGGACCAACCCTGCCCCCTCCCTGGCCCCTTCCCCCAGCCACTCAGCCTTCTCACCCTCCTTAAGAGCAGGTAGAGGGCCCGTTCCAGATCTCGTCGCCACCACAGCTGCCTGCATCGTTCAAGGGCCTCCTTATAGCGACAGACTTCTTGCTCCTCGGCCCCAAAACTGCGCACGGTCTGAAGCCCTCCAACTGCCTCCCGCACCACCTGCCCTGCTTTCGCCACTGCGTCCTGGATCTCCTGAAGCACTGCCTGCAGAAGTGGAGCAGGGCACGGAAGGGGTTGACTCGGCAGAAGACAGCAGACCCATGTCTCACTCCAGCCCTTGGGATGCTCCCCCAAACCACTGGGAAATGTCAAACTCTCCTCTTTCCCTCTTGCCTACACTTCTTTCCAGGAGGGATCATGAAAGTCAAGGAGGCAGCGAACAAAACACGACTGAGCTCTCAGTATGAGGTAGTGCAGGATACATGCTATTTTTTTTAACCGTCATTTGAGGTGACTCACACCACCCCCAGTGTCTGAATGAAGAAAGAAGGGTGGTTTTCCCAAGGAGCCACAGCTAGTTAACAGACGGTGGAGATGTAACTCAAAATGCATCAAATGCCTAAACACAAGAGCTAAAACCATCAAACTCTGAGAAGAAAACATGGGGGGAAGATTCATAAGACTAGACCAGAAATGATTTCCTGGATGTGACACCAAAAGCATACACAACAAAAGAAAAAAAAAAAACAGATAAATTGGACCTCATCAAAATTAAAAACTTTTGTGCATCAAAGGATTCTATCAACAGAGTGAGAAGGAAAATCACAGAATAGGAGAAAACATCTGCAAATCATGAATTAAAAGGTTAATACCCAGAATATATAAAGAATTCCTACAACTGAACAATTAAAAACGACCCAATTTAAAAATGAGCAAAGGACTTGAATAGATATTTCTCCAAAAAAGATACTAAACTTGTCAACAAACACATGAAAAGATGCTCAACATCACTAATCAATCAGGAAAAGCAAATCAAAACCATATGAGAGATCAGCTCAGTCATTAGGATGGCTATTATTTTTTAAAGTGGTATGAATATATGATGG